ATTCTTTGGACCTTACCTTTCACATGTAATAGCATAGATATTGTAGCACGAATTTAACCCTGAGATAAAAGAATTAAAAATTGTGATAGAGTCATAATCATATCATTTGAATAATTTTAATTAATCAAAAAAATTTAATTAGCTAATTATTGCTTGGCGCACCAAGACTTTAAATATCACAATAACTGGCTTCCAAAACGTGGGGTTTGAAAATATCGCAGCTTTACATGTGAAGGAAGGGAAAGAGATCTGGAATAAGTACAGGTGATCCAGAGATAAAAACATATAACATTGAGGGAATTTGAATTTGAAAGTATTTTGAAAATTTTTTCCAGTGGATATAAATTTGATTTATTGATTGATCGTAGTTAGTTGATATTTACTGCTATTGAATTATTTGATTTTATTTTACCAATTATTTGAATTTTACTGATTGCATATTTGATATTTGTCGTGAAAATTTATTACAATTGGGGAGAAATATTGTCGTGTTCTGCAACATATAGAGTGTTGTAAAATTTCACATTTGGCGGGGACAAAAACAGTAACGAAAAGAAACAACATGTCGACCACAAGGAGTCAAAGCAAAATGCAGGAAAGGAAGGAGGATAATAGAGAAGAGGAAACAATTGTGGAAGAAGGATCGGATAATGAAGGAAATGTTACAATAGTTGAGAAAAAAAAAAGAATTATCAGGAATAGAGAAAATATTACAACTAATGCAATTACAGACACAACAAATACAAGAATCAACAAAAACAATGGAAGAAAACCAACGGGAAACAAAACACATAATGGACGAAAATAACCGCAGACTGGAAGAAAACCAGAAGGAAACTAAACAGGCAATACAAGAGACAAAGCAAACAATAGAAGAAAATAACAGGAATATAGAACAGCGTTTGGAAAATTATGAACAGAAAATTAAAGGATGTGTAGAGGAGATGAAAAGAGAAATGATACAACAGATAGAAGAGATTAATGAAATTAAAAATAAAATGGGAGAACAAGAAAACAAAATGAAGGAAATCAAGATTGTCCAGAAAAAGGAATTAGAACAGTTAGAAGAAAAATTTGAAATGGCGCTACAAGAAGACAGGAAGGAAGTAGAAAGGAGATTAAAGCAAAATGAAAAACAAATGGCAGAAATTGAAGTAAGAGGGGTAGAGAGAAAAGAAGTTATCATCCATGGAACAAGCGAGGCGAAAATACAATTTGGCGGGGATATTCGGAAAACACACCCAGTACCGTTTGTTAAAAATTTGAAAACCAAATTACAACATATTAGATATTTTGACGATTGCAAAGAAACAATTAGAAACCATTTCAAAGAAGGAGCAGCATTATGGTATGAAAGCAAGGAAGATGAGTTTGAAAATAGGACAGATTTTGAAAATAAATTTCTCAACTATTTCTGGGGGGAAAATAAACAGAGAGAAATCAACCAAAAGCTACAGAATGGAAAATATCACGAAAAAATGGGAATATCTGAAGAAAGATATGCTTTGCAGATATATAACAATTCAAAATATCTAGAATACAAATATTCTACCGAACAGCTGGTAGAACTGATCAGCAGACATTTTGAGGAAACGTTGGAAGATCACGTGATTTTGAGAAACTATCAAGATATTGATAGTTTGTGCCAATTCCTTCAATTAAAAGAAGCGAAAAGAAAAGAAATGAGAAATAGAAGACAACATGACCAATATAATGGACCGGAAAGAAGGTATTCATCAAATTATGACCAGAGAAACCGACATCCCAGATCAACAAACGAATATAGGCCGAGAAATTACAATAATTACAATAGACAACAAAATTACGATAACCGGAATGATACACAAAATAGAACATATGAAAATCACAACAGGAATAGAGATGCACAAAATCCTCCGAATAGGAATACTAACGAACAAAGGGACGATAGAAATAATCAGAGTTTCCAACAACAAAATAGAAGGGAGATGAATCATGTAGCAATAGGAAACGAAAGACAAATTTCTAATTCTAATCTAATATTTTTAGATGCATTTATAAAACATAAAGCGATTAAAATTGTGATTGATTCTGGATCGGAGATATCGCTAATCAATAAAAGACTAGTAAAAGAATTAAATTTGGACAGATTTGTGTATAAGATTCCTAGGGTTGATTTAGTGGGTGCAAACAATAAAAATTTGACGACAGTAAACGAAGGTTTGGGAGTACAGATAAGGAGATTTAGAGTAATACTTGGATTTTGAGATTTCAACTAATATTGTTTGTACCATTAATTTTGATTGTTCACGTGCGTAGAATAAAATTTTGAGAATTATTATATGAGTTTTTGTTTATTGAAAACTTTTGAGTGTGAATTATTTCATTATTTTTATTTCAATAGTGTTAGATCATATGTGTTTTTTATTATTCCGGTATTCTTTGGACCTTACTTTCACATGTAATAGCATAGATATTGAAGCACGAATTTAACCCTGAGATAAAAGAATTAAAAATTGTGATAGAGTCATAATCATATCATTTGAATAAATTTTAATTAATCAAAAAAAATTAATTAGCTAATTATTGCTTGGCGCACCAAGACTTTAAATATCACAATAATATATATATATATATATATATATATATATATATATATATATATATATATATATATATATATATATATATATATATATATATATATATATATATATATATATATATATCTTTTGGCTTTTTTTTAACTTAATTGAATGGCTTCTAGATTATTTAAGTTCTTGAACGCACTTATATATTTTTTAGTCTCTCTACGACACTTTTGCAAATTATTCCTTAGGAGCAGGGTTGAACACGTGTGTTTGCGTGTATGTGCAAATATTTTCCTTGTACAATAAAAATCAATATTATCTACAAATTGTATTTATCATTTTTCTTAGCTTTGTATTTAAAAACCCATTAAATTCATGACCTTCCTAATGATACCGAACTGAGATGTTATAATAAATTAAAATAAAATAAACTTTTGAGAAAGACTGTATCGTTACCACGAAGTCGAGCGTCTACTCTGTCTCTCTGCATACTTTCTCTGTCTCTTCTCTGCGTCAACGGCTAACAGTGGCTTCCCACGGTCGGCGATTCTACAGATCATCGCGGACAGCCAATCAGCACGGACGAGAACGCACCGCAGACAGATCCCACGGTCCGTGACAGTCTGTGTAGGTCCGTGACAGTATTGTTTGATTATATCATAAAAAGACCACTCAGGCTTGTAAACATTAAATTCGGCATTAAATTATTTCTCTTCTTTTTTAATTCTTTAATCGAAATAGTACTATTCTTCAATTTATTTTTTATTTGGTTCCATACTTCGTATATATCGGTTCCGCTTCTTATGCTCTGGTGCCGTAGAATTCCATAAATTTGTTTCATTTTGATACAAATTTAAAAAATCAAAAATAACTTCGTTTGTTTATTCCATTTTTTAGCAAAAAACTGCAAAACAACTTTGACAACACTACAGACAACTACTCGTGTCAGCGAATGAAAAACTTCTGACTTGCACTTGTCGTCTGTTAAAACACAGACGCGCTAGGATCGCGTCGCACGAGTATGTACCGCACCTTTGATGTTACCGACTCTAGATGGATAGGACGGACCAGCACAGACGTGTCTGCGCTACCACGGACGAGACCCTTCCCACGGTGCGTGATGCGTGCTGGTCTGCTTACGTCCGTAATATCGCGGACCGTGGGAAGCCGCTATAAGATTTTAAAACTTTTTCCTAATCTTGACTAATGATACAATGAAGATAAAATTTTTTAGAAATATAGAAGGTTAAACAAATGAAGGTAGAACAAGAAATGAAGAAATTTGGAAAATAATAACGAAAACCTAATAATTAAGAAACTGCAGATAGTTTCGACATTTGGGGGAAAATTTAAGTTACGTGGTCCACATAAAACTCAGATTAGTCAAGACCATTATGAATATGGGAAAATAAAAAGAAAAGAATCGAAAAGACCTACGATAAATGATTAGATCATCTATTGAAACAAAAAGGAAAAGTTCTTAGTCTTATTTAATTAAAGAACATTAAATAAACATATTAGTAACAGTAAAAATTAAATTTATGTGATCACGTCGGTTAGAAGGAAAATATAAGGTGATTCTAAAATAGGGAATTAATTAGTTGTTTAGTGTTTAACAAGAAATTTAGTGTTTGTAAAGAGAAAATGAACATAAAAATATGTATTGCGTCTTTTTAATAAGCAATTTGCTAAAATTTTAATTACTGATCAGTATTACAGGTATTATAAATCATGAATATATGTCGGTTAATGGACAGTTTGACTGTACTATCATAAAATAGGAATTAAACAAATAGTCCAGGATATCACAGTAAAAATAATAGAAAATCTCTGAATTTATTTTTTAAACATCGATTTGCTTGACATTTTGTCAGTAGTAAAAAGCTCAAAGATTAAAATCTACCCTATGGCAATATGTGCTTTTCCTCTGGGGTGGTTACCATTTCAACTCGGGGGGTTAAAAAAGTTTATCGAAAAAAAAAAACTATGGTAGTCGCAAGAACAGCAAATTTTAAAACAAAAATGATGTTTAAAATTTTATCGAAAAGTCAATATTTTTGGACTTTGGAGTTACTCTTGACTGAAAGTTCACAAATTACACTCCAAAAAATTATGTTTTTAAATGGGTTTTCGCGAATAACTCCAAAAGTTTAGATTTTATATTTAATATATATAAAACGAAGCTTCTAAAACAAAGATAATTGTAGATAATCAACTTTTTTACAGACCATAAAAAACGTTTAAAACGACTAGGTATTACTAAAATCAAGTCTGCTTATATTATTCGTGAAGCAGGGAGTAACAAACTCACCCCCACTAGTTTAGGTTTAGTTTTGAAGAAAAGTTTAAATTAATGAACTTATTTTAGGGATTTATCAAAAAATCCCCTTTCTGCAAAATAACTCACAACAAAAATAGGCAAAGAAAAATGTTAAATACAAAAAAAACGTTTTTTTTACTGAAAATTTTGATTTTTGTTATTTTTATGGAATAAAAATATGAAATAAAGTTGTGTACATTAAATTGTTTTTAAGCCTTTAGTTTTTAAAAGGATTGTGCTGAAAGAGCTTGAAGATGGTACTAAACGCATGTTAATACACACTTTAAATAATCATATCTCGTTTAATTTTTACTATAGAAATAAAAAAAAACTAAAATCTGTAGTAAAATATAGTTATTTTGAAAAAAAGGTATTTTTTGAGAAATTCCGAAATTATTGTCTTCACAATATATTTTATTTTTTCAAAATTTAACCCTATAAATTAGTTAAACTTCGAACAACGAATACTTGTCAATAGTTGTTGAATCCACCAGGGTGGTTTTGGCCGGGGTGAGATTGTTACTTTCAGCGTCACAAAAAATATTTACGAACTTTTTTATCACAATTACCAGCGGTCAGTTTAAAGGGTTTTTTAAGATTATAAAAAAAGTTTCAATAAGTTTTTCATAAAAAACTTACGGTTTTCTAGTTATTCAACACCATTTTTGCCTTTTTGTACTCCATGAGTACAAGTCTACTTTCGGACAGCCAAATCTTTGTTAATATTAAGTTAACGGTAATAATAAAAACCGATTCTTTTTGTTTAATAAGCTTTATTTCATTTTAAAACACTTTGCAGATTATTTGCGAAAAACCGTTTTTTTAATAAACCTTTTCCACCAACTAGTTGGGGTGGTAACCACCAATCTTTGAGCTATTTTCTGTCTACTGTTAACATTTCAAGTAAATCTATGTAAATAAAAAGAATTATCAGTAGAAAACCACCATATCATGGACTAACACCATAATGCTTGTTCCAAACGCTAGTTTCGACTGGTCAGTGGCGTAGCTAGTCCTGAGCAACATTTACTTTTCGCGACAAATACGACCGTACAAATGTGTCGATAACCTAATGTTACTAATATCAAGTGTATTAATCATTGTATATATAAAATTACATTAGTATCCCATCTTCATTAAAGTATCGTTAAAGAATAAACTACTACTTCTTTGATTGCGTGTATTATTAGGGATTTGAGTCCGTAAAAGCTTTTTCCATATCAGGATCATATTTAACCCTCTTGTGAACAATATAATAAAAGTCAACTGTCAAATATAAATATACAATATTTATACACTATAATTAATACTCACATCAGCTTATAAAAAAATATTGTTAAAGCATTTTTCATAAAAGTTTAAGATATTCAAAGCAAAATGTGTTAAATCAACATAATAATTTTAACGTTTATTATTTTCAGCTTTCCTGAACGATGTCTTCGCAAAGAAATAAGATTTTTGTCATTTATCTTGTTACGTAAACGATATGAAAATAGATAATAATGTAAAATGGTAAACCAAAAAATTAACCAATATTTTATATGTTTTATATTTACTAATATTTTTATTGTTATAAATTAATTCTTAACGTTTTATAATAATTCTGTGAATGACAGCTACGCCACTGAAAAAAAAGCATTCTATTGAGACGTGAAGCTGTGCTATAGCATAATCTAAGTACATAAAAAGAGATTTGAAGACTTTGTTCCAATATAATATAGCAGCATATATAATATCAATTGTTATAGATTTATATAACCAAGCAGATCTTGTACAAAAATTTGGACCATTGTCTTGCAGTCTTTCTCTATTTCTTTGAGGTGAGGATAGTAACGAATTCTGAAAAAAAAACAAAATTAAGTTAAATAACCCAAATATTAGTCACAATTTATTTAAATTTATTAAAAAAAAAATAGTAGTAAGTCTGGGTAAGTGCGAACGCATTTTTTCAGAGATGGTGTTTATGTCAATATTAAACTGAAGTATGCATTCTGAATCAATCAATTCTTCAAACGACGGGAACTTCAGGAAACTTAAATACTTAAATACAGAGTTATTGCAGGTGATCAGATTCTGGAAAACCATCTTAAGAATGCTCCGAGAAATTCAACGCTTACAAGTAAAACAACGTAAAAATACCACATAGACACTGTTAAGGCCGATTCACATTAGCCGTTCAGGTCACGCTCCGCTCAAGTTCCGCTCACGATCAAGAATTGTGTACACTATTCACAGTAGGCGCTCAGGTGACGCTCCGCTCACGATCAAGAATTTCGCTATACTACTCAATTTGGCGGGACTCAGAGAATAGGCACAGTTCGTTGCATATATAAATTTGTTTAACATGTTTAAAGATTTTTCTAACAGTGATTTGGCTGTCATTTCTTTATGTTTGGATGAAGAAGAGCTTCAGTCAACCAATAAACAGCCAAGAATATGGGTGCACAATATTTTAAAAACAAGGAAAACAGAAGGGGAGTTTTTTACTCTGTATAAAGATTTCTGTGACGATGAAACTAAATTTTTTCAGTACTTTCGAATGACAAAACATAAATTTTATTACATTTTGAATAAAATTTCGGCCGACTTGAGAAAACAGAATACCACCTTAGGGAAGATATTATTCCAGTAAAGAAGTTAGCTGTATGCTTAAGGTTAGTAAAAACTGTACCATATAAGTATGTGATTTTTTATTAAAAAAAAGAAAGTATTTGCAAAGAAATTACAACTTAAAAGTACACAGTATACAAAATAAATATAAATGTTTTAATCTTAATATAAAAGTAAGTATTAAACAAATTAACAAAAAAAAAAAAAAAATAAAACTACCGTCTGGTGAAAAATGTTCATAATATGATGATGCGATGGAAGGAGGTCTTGATTGGATAGGTGTAGGTGTCGAGAAAACTTGAGGAGGTGTATGCAACAGATCAGCTCCATCCATTTGGTCACTAAAGCCAGAATTGCGAAAAGTTCCAGAACCAGGAAGCGGGTGACACGAAAAGTGTTGTTGTTGATACGGTTGTGCATTAACGTTAGTAGCAACAATGTATTTGTTTTCAATATCTGCGACAGTATTAAATATTGTTCTTTTGACAAGCTGATAATCAGCTGGTGAAAAAGTACGCACTGTTGCTTTAATACTGTCGAAAAGCAAATCTATGTGTTTTGTATATCTTCTTTGTGTATCTTCTTTATGTTTTGTTGCGCTGCATGTTCTTCTTCTTTTTTACTAAGAATATATTGCATTAGTGCTACACTTGCGCAGACTTTAGACTTTCTTCTGTGTCAACTTTTTGTTTTGATGAGTGACGAAATGTTTCGTACTGAAACAGGCGTAGGAAAAAGAATTGTGAGGTACTCTGTTCTGCTTCCCCATTTCCTTCTTCATTTTTGTCTTGTATCGATAAAGCTTCCTTATTATTATTAGAGGTGTTCTCTGCAATATCGCTTATTGTAGATACGCGTTCCTTGTCTCTCATATGTGCTAACAAAAATGCCAGTTCCTCTTCATACCTCCATTTCTTTCTTTTAGTCACGGCTTGACCCGTTTTTGTTTCACGGAGCTTGAAAATTTTTCTATATTGAGAGCGCAACGATTCCCATCCTTGTTTACATTCCTCCGCTAAAATAAATGAAAAATATTAGTACACTTACTTTGTTTATTGTGTTGCAAGGTTTTTAAATAAACAAGTTTTTACATCAAGGAGGATTTAAACTTAAGGCCTTTGCTTATCGAGTACAAGTACATACATATATCGTATATAGTAACAAAACTAAAGAAGCTTTTGCTCGAGTGGCTGAAATATACTCATGTCTTCGATAGTGCAGTTAGTTACTGCATTACACTTGATATACAAAGGTTAAGGGTTTGAATCCCAAAGGCATAAACGTTTTAACAAAAAAATTGTCTGAACGCACCAAAAAAATATTTTTTATAAAATTTTGATTAAGATTTTTGTCAACAGGAGGTTCCTTCAGAACCATTGCATTTAGTTACCGTCTTGGCCACTCTACCACACAAGAAATAGTGACAGAAGTATGTAAAAGCATTATAAAAAATCTACTACAAGAATGTATGCCAATACCGACAGAAGCACGCTGGAAAGAAATAGCAAACAAGTTTTGGAATTTTCCCAATTGTCTGTGAGCGTTAGATGGCAAACATGTGGAAATTGTAGCACCTGCAAATAGTGGATCACATTTTTTTAATTATAAACGTACCTTTTCGGTAGTGCTACTAGGACTAGTGGACGCACATTACAAGTTCATTGCAGTTAGTAGACATATATTCCTACGATAAGAATAGTGACGGAGGAATATTTGCTAGCTCAAAGCTGGGAAGAGCTTTAGAGCAGGGAACGATTCATATTCCTGAAGAAACAGTATTTCCTAGAACAGCTATTATAGCGCCGTACGTAATAATTGGTGATTCTGCTTTTCCTTTGAGAACAAATCTTATGAGACCATACCCAGAACCGCAAGCCAATAACGATAGCAAGAAATGAATTTTCAATTACCGGCTATGTCGTTCTCGTCGTGTTGTAGTAAACGCTTTGGGAATTTTGGCTCACAAGTTTCACATATATATGAGAAAATGAAAATCCAAACCCGGAAATGTAGAAAATATCATTTTGACTACATGTATTTTGCATAATTTTTTGCGAGAAGATGCTGTTTTACAACCTGCGGTTTCAAGCGAATTATTTGTACCTCAAGAAGGACGGACTCAGTTTTCGTCATTGCCAAGACAAGGAGGGAATGCTCATGAAAATGCGTTTCTCGTCCGAGAAACATTAAAAAACTTTTTTAACTCTGATGTTGGGAGTGTCCAATGGCAAATTCATAAATAGTTATCAAAACTAGTATAATTATTATTTCTAACAATTTTATGCAATTATAACCTTAAATAAAAATATACAGTCAATGCTTACCTGTTTTATTTAATTTAATGGCAATTTCCTTCCATCTTTTATTTTTATGTACCGTATCAAAATACAGTCTATTTCCCTGGTTCTACAATTCCTTACAGCAGCGCACCAATTCAATCAACTGTTCGTCATCCATCGAGCTGCGAAAATCGTACCTTCACCTGACTGTTACTAATTCACACTACCCTGCCGCTCCGCTCCACTCAGATCAAGTCACGATCAAACTATTCTCCTGGAGAATCGCCGCGGTCAAAAGAGCGGGACGGAACGTGAGCGTTGTGTTTACTGTGAATAGCACCATTTAAGTTGCGTCTTAAGGCCCGTTTTCACGCTACGTCTTATTTTACGTTTTGTTGGTCATATAAAACGTACGACAAAACGTACGTTTTGTCCAGTGTATACACACTATGTGTTTCCTTCCGACAAAACGTACGTTTTGCTGTTTACATGCCACGTTTTATTGTATAGGATTTGTCCTATCCGACAAAACGTACAATAAGACGTAGCGTGAAAACGGGCCTTAAGAATACTTGACCAAACCTTGAGCTGAGCGTGAGCGAAGCGTGACCTGAGCTATAATGTGAATCGGCTTTTAGTGAGACTATTGTCTCACTAGTTGTGGCATTCTTAGTGAGAAGAAATTGTTGAAGCTGTTTGGTAGATAAAACAATTGACATCAGCTTCTATAATAAATTAACATTATCTGTACGATATGTAGATAAAGACAAGCACTGTTTAAAAGAAGATTTCTTAAGATTGTAATGGAGCAGGATTTAAGTAGGAAGGCATTGTCAAACATTATTATACGAGAACTCAGAGGCTTAGAGCTAAATATTTCAAATCTTGGTAGGCAAGGTTACGACAGCGGAACTAATATGTCAAAAAATTTACGTAATGTGCAAGCGCGAATTTTGAAACAACAGCCCCGAGCATTGTAACAAGTGATTCAGTGAAACTGCATGATTTGACAACGCTGCTGGCAAAAAAATTGCGTTTATGAGCATGAATAAACAAGCGTTTCGTTAACGCTACCATTTGCCTCCCTGCGTTCCATTTACGTCTAATAAGGCTGCTTAAACTTGGGTTAGGAACTGTAAAAGTAGTAACTTAACATCACAGAAAAGAAGTGGCAGTGTCAGAACTGCTTGCACACTACAGAATATTAAAGCGGTACGAAACTCATTACACGTGTCCTCGAAGATCCCTGCGACGACGAAGCTTAAATCTGGAATCAAGCTATATCCCTACAAGCAGAATTTTGCATAACGATCTCCAGTATCATTCATACAAAATTTAGATTGTATCATCCCTTAACGTTTGAGATTATCCCACCCGACTTGGGTTTTATGAACAAATGGAGTGTATTAATGAAAACAACTTGCTGCATACTCCTTGTATGAGTGATGAAGCCCACGTTCATCTAGATGGGTATGTAAACAAACAAATTTTCGCTATTGGTTCGATGATATTTTGCCGCAGTTATAAGAAAAACCCCTATATTCAGTAAAGATATCCGTGTGGTGTTCAATTTCTTCCTTGTGAAAGTTTTTTGAAGACGTGGGTGTACCCGTAGTATCAGTAAACTCTGATCTCAACGTGCACATCTTAAATTATGTTTTTCTTCCGGCAATAAAAAATTACAGAAATTAACACACATTCTTCCAACAGGATGGCGCAATATGTCACACATCACATGTGTCAATGGAGTTGCTAACAAGTACGGTCGTCTTATGAGTAAAAAATGCGATATTCTCTGCCACCTCGTAGTCCGGATATTTCTCTATGCGACAACTTTTTTGGGGGTATCTAAAGTCGAAGGTTTTAAAGTAAAGTGAAAGCAATGCCTTATGAAATTTTACTTAATGTCGTAAACAGCTTCGTACCATGGCTGCAAGAATGTAGCGACAA